TCTTAATCCACACTCCACTCTTAATCCACACTCCACTCTTAATCCACACTCCACTCTTAATCCACACTCCACACTAATCCACACTCCACTCTAAATCCACACTCCACTCTAAATCCACACTCCACTCTTAATCCACACTCCACACTAATCAACACTCCACTCTTAATCCACACTCCACTCTTAATCCACACTCCACTCTTAATCCACACTCCACTCTTAATCCACACTCCATTCTTAATCCACACTCCACTCTTAATCCACACTCCACTCTTAATCCACACTCCACTCTCAATCCACACTCCACACTAATCCACACTCCACTCTTAATCCACACTCCACTCTTAATCCACACTCCACTCTTAATCCACACTCCACTCTTAATCCACACTCCACACTAATCCACACTCCACTCTTAATCCACACTCCACTCTTAATCCACACTCCACTCTTAATCCACACTCCACTCTAATCCACACTCCACTCTTAATCCAAACTCCACTCTTAATCCACACTCCACACTAATCCACACTCCACACTAATCCACACTCCACTCTTAATCCACACTCCACTCTTAATCCACACTCCACTCTTAATCCACACTCCACTGTTAATGCACACTCCACTCTTAATCCACACTCCACTCTTAATCCACACTCCACTCTTAATCCACACTCCACTCTTAATCCACACTCCATTCTTAATCCACACTCCACTCTTAATCCACACTCCACACTAAATCCACACTCCACTTTAATCCACACTCCACACTAAATCCACACTCCACTTTAATCCACACTCCACACTAATCAACACTCCATTCTTAATCCACACTCCACTCTTAATCCACACTCCACTCTTAATCCACACTCCACTCTTAATCCACACTCCACTCTTAATCCACACTCCACTCTTAATCCACACTCCACTCTTAATCCACACTCCACACTAATCCACACTCCACACTAATCCACACTCCACTCTAATCCACACTCCACTCTTAATCCACACTCCACTCTAAATCCACACTCCACTCTTAATCCACACTCCACACTAATCCACACTACACTCTTAATCCACACTCCACACTAATCCACACTCCACTCTAAATCCACACTCCACTCTTAATCCACACTCCACTCTTAATCCACACTCCACTCTTAATCCACACTCCACACTAATCCACACTCTACTCTTAATCCACACTCCACTCTAATCCACACTCCACTCTAAATCCACACTCCACTCTAAATCCACACTCCACTCTAAATCCACACTCCACTCTAAATCCACACTCCACTCTTAATCCACACTCCACTCTTAATCCACACTCCACACTAATCCACACTCCACTCTTAATCCACACTCCACTCTTAATCCACACTCCACACTAATCCACACTCCACTCTTAATCCACACTCCACTCTTAATCCACACTCCACTCTTAATCCACACTCCACTCTAAATCCACACTCCACTCTTAATCCACACTCCACTCTTAATCCACACTCCACACTAATCCACACTCCACTCTTAATCCACACTCCACTCTTAATCCACACTCCACACTAATCCACACTCCACACTAATCCACACTCCACTCTTAATCCACACTCCACTCTTAATCCACACTCCACTCTTAATCCACACTCCACTCTTAATCCACACTCCACTCTTAATCCACACTCCACTCTTAATCCACACTCCACTCTTAATCCACACTCCACTCTTAATCCACACTCCACTCTTAATCCACACTCCACTCTTAATCCACACTCCACTCTTAATCCACACTCCACTCCACTCCTCTCCACTCCACTCCCTCGCCTATATGTCTCTCTCTGTCTCTCTCTGTCTCTCTGTGTCTCTCTATGTCTCTCTCTGTTTCTGTCTGTCTTTCTATCTCACTATGTATGTGTCTCTCTGTGTCTGTCTCTGTGTCTCTCTCTGTCTCTCTCTGTCTCTGTCTCTCTGTCTCACTGTATATGTGTCTCTCTGTGTCTCTCTCTGTCTCTGTCTCTCTGTCTCACTATGTATGTGTCTCTCTGTGTCTGTCTGTCTGTCTGTCTATCTCAATATCTCACTATTTATGTGTCTCCTTGTGTCTCTCTGTGTCTGTCTCTCTGTGTGTGTCTCTCTGTCTCTCTGTCTCTCTATCTCACTATATATGTGTGTCTCTGTGTGTGTCTCTCTGTCTCTATGTCTCTCTGTCTCTCTATCTCACTGTGTATGTGTCTCTCAGTGTCTCTCTCTGTGTCTCTCTGTCTGTCTATCTCACTATGTATGTGTCTCTCTGTGTCTCTCTGTGTCTCTCTCTGTGGCTGTCTCTCCGTGTGTCTCTCTGTCTCTATGTCTCTCTGTCTCTCTATCTCACTATGTATGTGTCTCTCTGTGTCTCTCTGTGTCTCTCTGTCTCTCTGTCTCTCTATCTTACTATGTATGTGTCTCTCTGTGTCTCTCTGTGTCTCTCTGTCTCTCTCTGTCTCTCTGTCTCTCTATCTCACTATGTATGTGTCTCTCTGTGTCTCTCTGTGTCTCTCTGTCTCTCTGTCTCTCTGTCTCTTAATCTTACTATGTATGTGTCTCTCTGTGTCTCTCTGTCTCTCTCTGTCTCTCTCTGTCTCTCTATCTCACTATGTATGTGTCTCTCTGTGTCTCTCTGTCTGTCTCTGTCTCTATGTCTCTCTATCTCACTATGTATGTGTCTCTCTGTGTCTCTCTCTGTGTCTGTATGTCTCTCTGTCTCACTATCTCACTATGTATGTGTCTCTCTGTGTCTCTCTGTGTCTCTCTCTGTGTCTGTCTCTCCGTGTGTCTCTCTGTCTCTCTGTCTCTCTGTCTCTCTATCTCACTGTGTATGTGTCTCTCTGTGTCTCTCTCTGTGTCTGTCTCTCCGTGTGTCTCTCTGTCTCTCTGTCTGTCTCTGTCTCTCTATCTCACTATGTATGTGTCTCTCTGTGTCTCTCTCTGTGTCTGTCTACGTAGATGTCTGGGTTACCGCATGACCAGCTCTCCAGCACTCTCTGTCTCTCTCTCTGTGTCTGTCTCTGTGTGTGTCTCTGTGTATCTGTGTCTCTGTGTCTCTCTGTGTCTCTGTGTGTCTATGTAGATGTGTGGTTTACCACGTGATCAGCTCTCTGTCGAGAACTCTGTGATTGTCCAGCACTCTGTCTCTGTCTCTCTGTCTCTGTGTGTCTCTGTGTCTCTGTCTGTCTCTCTGTCTCTGTGTGTCTCTGTCTCTGTGTCTACGTAGATGTGTGGTTTACCACGTGACCAGCTCTTTGTCTCTCTGTGTGTCTCTGTGTGTCTCTGTGTCTCTGTGTGTCTCTGTGTCTATGTGTCTCTCTGTGTGTCTCTGTGTCTACGTAGATGTGTGGTTTACCACGTGACCAGGTCTCCGTAGAGAACTCTGTGATTGTCCAGCACTCTCTGTCTCTGTCTCTCTGTCTCTGTGTGTCTCTGTGTGTCTCTGTGTCTGTCTCTGTGTCTCTTTGTGTCTCTGTGTCTATGTGTCTCTGTCTCTGTGTCTATGTAGATGTGTGGTTTACCACGTGACCAGCTCTCCGTCTCTCTGTCTCACTGTGTCTCTCTCTCTGTGTCTCTCTGTGTGTCTCTGTGTCTATGTAGATGTGTGGTTTACCACGTGACCAGCTCTCTGTCGAGAACTCTGTGATTGTCCAGCACTCTCTGTCTCTGTCTCTCTGTCTCTGTGTGTCTCTGTGTGTCTCTGTGTCTGTCTCTCTGTCTCTGTCTCTCTGTGTGACTCTGTGTGTCTCTGTCTCTGTGTCTATGTAGATGTGTGGTTTACCACGTGACCAGCTCTCCGTCTCTCTGTCTCACTGTGTCTCTCTCTCTGTGTCTCTCTGTGTGTCTCTGTGTCTATGTAGATGTGTGGTTTACCACGTGACCAGCTCTCCGTCGAGAACTCTGTGATTGTCCAGCTCTCTGTCTCTGTGTCTCTGTGTCTCTGTGTCTCTGTGTGTCTCTGTGTCTCTGTGTGTCTCTGTGTCTATGTGTCTCTCTGTGTGTCTCTGTGTCTCTGTGTCTCTCTGTGTGTCTCTGTGTGTCTCTGTGCGTCTCTGTGTCTATGTAGATGTGTGGTTTACCACGTGACCAGCTCTCCGTCGAGAACTCTGTAATTGTCCAGCACTCTCTGTCTCTGTCTCTCTGTGTGTGTCTCTATGTGTCTCTGTGTCTCTGTATGTAGATGTGTGGTTTACCACGTGACCAGCTCTCTGTCTCTCTGTGTGTCTCTGTGTCTCTCTGTGTGTCTCTGTGTGTCTCTGTGTCTACGTAGATGTGTGGTTTACCACGTGACCAGCTCTCTGTCTCTCTGTGTGTCTCTGTGTCTCTCTGTGTCTCCGTGTGTGTCTCTGTGTCTCTGTATGTAGATGTGTGGTTTACCACGTGACCAGCTCTCTGTCTCTCTGTGTGTGTCTCTCTGTGTGTCTCTGTGTGTCTGTCTGTCTATGTAGATGTGTAGTTTACCACGTGACCAGCTCTCTGTCTCTCTGTGTGTCTCTGTGTCTCTCTGCGTCTCTGTGTGTCTCTGTGTCTATGTAGATGTGTGGTTTACCACGTGACCAGCTCTCCGTCGAGAACTCTGTGATTGTCCAACACTCTCTGTCTCTGTCTCTCTGTGTGACTCTCTGTGTCTCTGTGTCTGTGTGTCTATGTAGATGTGTGGTTTACCACGTGACCAGCTCTCTGTCTCTCTGTGTGTCTCTGTGTCTCTCTGTGTCTCTCTGTGTGTCTCTGTGTCTCTGTGTCTATGTAGATGTGTGGTTTACCACGTGACCAGCTCTCCATCGAAAACTCTGTGATTGTCCAACACTCTCTGTCTCTGTCTCTCTGTGTGTCTCTCTGTGTCTCTCTGTGTGACTCTGTGTGTCTCTCTGTCTCTGTGTCTCTGTCTCTGTGTCTATGTAGATGTGTGGTTTACCACGTGACCAGCTCTCTGTCTCTCTGTGTGTCTCTGTGTCTCTGTCTCTGTGTCTATGTAGATGTGTGGTTTACCACGTGACCAGCTCTCCGTCGAGAACTCTGTGATTGTCCAGCACTCTCGTCGCTGGCCGCTCTTCATCGACCCGCAGGGTCAGGCCAACCGCTGGATCAAGAACAAGGTGAGGGCACAACCACAACCACAACCACCACCACCACAACCACCACCACCACCACCACAACCACCACCACAACCACCACCACAACCACCACAACCACCACCACCACAACCACCACCACAACCACAACCACCACAACCACCACCACAACCACAACCACAACAACCACCACCACAACCACCACCACCACAACCACCACCACCACAACCACCACCACAACCACCACCACCACAACCACCACCACAACCACCACAACTACCACAACCACCACCACCACAACCACCACCACCACCACAACCACCACCACCACAACCACAACCACCACCACCACAACCACCACCACAACCACAACCACCACCACAACCACAACAACCACCACCACCACTACAACCACAACCTCCACCACCACAACCACCACAACTACCACAACCACCACCACCACAACTAGCACAACCACCACCACAACTACCACCACCACAACAACCACCACCACAACCACCACAACTACCACAACCACCACCACTACCACAACCACCACCACTACCACAACCACAACTACCACAACCACCACCACCACAACTACCACAACCACCACCACCACAACTACCACAACCACCACCACAACCACAACCACCACCACCACAACTACCACAACCACAACCACCACCACAACTACCACCACCACAACAACCACGACCACCACCACAACCACAACTACCACAACCACCACCACCACAACTACCACAACCACCACCACAACCACAACCACCACCACAACTACCACAACCACCACCACCACAACCACCACAACTTCCACAACCACCACCACCACGACTACCACAACCACCACCACAACTTCCACAACCACCACCACAACTACCACAATTTCCGCAACCACAACCACCACCACCACAACAACTACCACAACTAGCACCACAACTACCACAACCACCACCACCACAACCACCACCACCACAACCACCACCACCACCACAACTTCCACAACCACCACAACTAGAACCACAACCACCACCACAACTAGCACAACTAGCACCACAACTACCACAACTAGCACCACAACTACCACAACTAGCACCACAACTACCACAACCACCACCACCACAACCACCACAACTACCACAACTAGCACCACAACTACCACAACCACCACCACAACCATAACTACCACCACAACGACCACAACTAGCACCACCACAACTACCACAACCACCACCGCAACCACCACCACAACTAGCACCACAACTACCACCGCAACCACCACCACAACTAGCACCACAACAACCACCGCAACCACCACCACAATCACAACCACAACTACCACCACAACCACCACCACAACTAGCACCACAACTACCACCGCAACCACCACCACAACCACCACAACTAGCACCGCAACTACCACCACAACCACCACCACAACTACCACAACTAGCACCACAACTACCACCGCAACCACCACCACAATCACAACCACCACAATCACCACCACAACCAACAACAACAACCGCCATTCGCCACTAAGTGGCGGTGACGTCACCACGACGCTTGTGCCAGGCTATGTGCACCTTGAGGCCACGTGAAGTGTCGAACGCCCGCTGGCAGGAGGTCACGGGGCAGACCCAGGTGCCACGGGTCGACTGACTGAGATGACTGGCTGATGCACCACCTGTGCCCCCTACTGTGCCAACCTGCTGTGCTTTAGCCACCCGGCGCTCCGCTCATTGTTGTGAGCATCGCTCCTCCGCCCTCCGTTGTTGTTGGAGGGCGACTGCCTCCAACTGCCCAGTAGCATCCTTCACGAGCCTCCTCCACAGAGGCCGATCTTGACACCGCTGGTACTGGTCATCGGCAAGCCCACTCAGTTCCACGTCCTCCTGTACCACATCACTCCATCTCTTCTCTAGCCCGTGCCGCGCCCGTTTAGCCCCCTCTATCCGGCCGAACAAAAGCTGTTTAGGCATGCGGTGGCTGGGCATGCGGGCTACATGGCCCAGCCAACGCAGCCTTGCCTGCCGGAGGAGCTCACCGATTGGACTTAAACCCAGGATGGATCATAGGCAGGCCAGCCTAAATGTTTCTATCCGGTGAAGATGTTCCATTAAGGGGGTCCACGTTTTGCAAGCGTAGAGACTGGAGGGAATGACTGTGGCCGAGAAGACCTGAAGCTTAGTGCGGAGCGACAGACCAGGTAGCTTCCGCACAGCGTTACGCAACCGATGAAAAGATATTGCCGCTCGACTGATTCGGAGTGAGACTTCTGCTGTCAAACCGGAGCCGGTCATAAGCACACTGCCCAGGTATGGGAAACTCTCCACTCTCTCCACAACTGCCCCATCACCAATTGGGAGTTGATGGTACAAAATACCCAGGCAGGTGCTTAGTTTTGGTGAGGCTGATGGTAAGGCCCCACCTCTTAGTGGCACGCTCCACGTTCAGCAACAGCGCCTCCAACTCCTCCTCTGAGTGAGCAGCAATCACCAGATCATCGGCATACATAACGTGGTTGAGCAATAGGGAGCCATCCTTTGACCGCACCCGGGCATCGATCTGCCTCCCATTGTATCTGTACCAGATGGAAATTCCTCCATTATAGCTATTCAAGGTTTCACAAACTATGTGGTCAAAATAGATGGTAAATAATGTGGGAGCCAGAGGACATCCCTGTCGCACCCCAAGGTGTACAGGGAATGGCTCCGACTCCCGGCCACGTAGTTTTACCCGGGCCCGCTGACCATCATGAAGGTCCTTAATGATCGTGAACAGAGGGTCAGGTACTCTAAAAGCACTAAGAACAACCCAGAGCCCAGGCCTACTGATGGCATCATAGGCCTTGACCAGGTCAATAAAGCAGAGATGTAGGTCTTGCTGGAATTCTCTACACCTCTGCTGTAGCAGACGGACAGAGAATATGGCATCAGTGCAGGACCGCCCTTTCCTGAAACCGCATTGGGGCTCCGCAAGCCTCTCCTCAGCGTGCCTGGCAAGGCGATGTTGAATAATCATTGCCAGGACCTTACCCGGCACACTGAGGAGTGAGATTCCCCTGCAGTTGTTACAGTCTGTGCGGTCCCCCTTCTTGAAGAGGGAGACCACCAGGACATCCTTCCAAACCTGCAGTACCTTTTAAGTGGTCCAGACTGTTGTTATGATGTCATGTAGGGCAGTTTGTGCACAAACGCCACCCTCCCTCAGCATTTCGCTTGGGAGATCATCTCTGCCCGCTGCCTTTCCTGGTCTCAGACTCCGAATCGCCTTCAGTACTTCCTCAACAGATGGCACCTCAGCCAGCCACTCACAGGGGGAGACTTCTTATTCCAATATTTGAGGCACCGCAGCCTCGGCAGGGTCATCCCCACTTTGCGCCACGATGTCTTCCTGGCCGAGGGATTTCCCCCTCCCCCAGGACAAGCGGGCCAAAGGAGTTCCGGGGCCTGGCTGGTCGATCTTCGTTCTTGAGTCGAAGTGCCCTCTCAGCTCTCCCCGGGTTCCCACCTTTTATATCGTCCCTCACCGAGGGGCGTGGCTGGGAGTGGTCACAGCGTCCCCCACAGCCGCCCAGGGTGGTGGCCTCGACACCTGTAGCCCTCCACGGATGTTCGTCTTCGGCATGGGCATGAGTAACCACGACCGCCACCATTCCTCGCCTCCCGTTGACGGGAAGGCGAGCCCAAGGCGGCACCGGGGCTTGCGGCTTCCCACACCTCACCGGCCACGCTCCCACGTGCCCCCCCTTTCATTATTTTTGTCAGAAGAAGAGCCACTCCCCGTTGTTTGGCAGTCCGCTGCCCCCGAGTTAGAGGACTGTCCACCCCTCACGGTGGCAGGAGACGGAGCCGGTCCGCCGGACCTCCTGAATGCCGCAGAGGTCCAGGCGGTAGCGGTCCAGCTCCCGACAGAGGAGCGGCAGCCTCTCCTCCGCGGTGAGCGTTCGGACATTCCACGTGGCCACACGAAGTGGCTTTTTGCTGTTTCTGGAGGAGCCCCCTGGGTAACGATTCAGTCTCCTGGCTCCGCCCAATGGGGTTTGGCCAGGAGACGTCAGAGACGCCTGTCCCCCCGGGGCCTCCGGCACAAGCTTATTAGTTAGATATTTTAGACATGGTTTAGCGGTAATTAATTTAAGGTGGATGGCCAATCGCAATTTGCCCTCCCGCCATGGCACTGATCACCACAGCTTTGCCGTACCGGCACCAACGGGCAGGTAGGGGGTGGTTTTGCCGGACACTGCCACAACCACCACCACAACTACAACCACGACCACAACTACCACCACAACCAACACAACCACCACCCCAACCACAAAATCCACCACCACAACTACAACCACCACAACCACCACCACCACCACAAACCCCACCACATACACCGCCACAACCCCCACCACAACTCCCACCACAACCACCACCACCACATCCAACACCACAACTACCACAGCCGAAAGCACAACTATAAACACCACAATCACAACTACAGCCATCATTACAACCACCAGAGCCACAACAACCACCACCACAACTACAACCACCACCACAACTACAACCACCACCACAACTACGACCACCACGACTACATCCAACACAGGCACACGCACAACTACAACTACAACCACTACCACAACCAACACAACCACAACAACAACCACAACTACAACCACTACCACAACCACAACCAACACAACCACAACAACAACCACCACAATCACAACTACAACCAACACAGGCACACGCACAACTACAACTACAACCACTACCACAACCAACACAACCACAACAACTACAACCACTACCACAACTACAACCAACACAACCACAACAACTACAACTACTACCACAACTACACCCAACACAACCACAACAACAACCACCACAATCACTGCAACCACAACCACCACAGGCACAAATACAACCACCACTACAACTACAACCACTACCACAACGACCACCACAATCACCACCACTGCAACCACAACCACCAACACCACCACCACAACTACAACCACTACAACCACTATAGCCATTGCCACAACTCAAACCACCACCACCACCACTGCAACCACAACCACCACCACTGCAACCACAACCACCACAGGCACAAATACTACCACCACAACAACTACAACCACTACGACCACCACAGCCACCAACACCACCACCACCACAACCACCATCACAGCTACAACCACTACAACCACTATAGCCATTGCCACAACTCAAACCACCACCACAACCACCACGACAACCACCACCACCACAATCACCACCACGACAACCACCACCACAACCACAATCACCACCACCACAACTACAATCACCACCACCACAGCTACAATCACCACCACCACAACCACAATCACCACCACCACAACTACAATCACCACCACCACAATCACCACAACTACAATCACCACCACCACAACCACAATCACCACCACCACAACTACAATCACCACCACCACAACCACAATCACCACAATCACCACCACCACAACCACAATCACCACCACCACAACCACAATCACCACCACCACAACCGCAGCCACTACAGCCACCACCACCACCACCACTAAGACAGCCACTACTCTGTCTCTCTCTCTGTCTCTCTGTGTCACTCTATATCTCTCTGTATATCTCTGTGTGTGTCTCTCTCTCAGTGGCTCTCTCTCTCTGTCTCTCTGTCTCTCTCTGTCTCACTCTCTGTCTCTTGCTATCTCTCTGTCTCTCTCTGTGTCTCTCTGTGTCTCTCTCTGTCTCACTCTCTCTGTCTCTGTCTCTCTCTGTCTCCGTCTCTCTCTGTCTCTCTGTCTCTCTCTGTCTCTCTGTCTCCCTCTCTGTCTCTTGCTATCTCTCTCTGTCTCTCTGTGTCACTCTATATCTTTCTGTATATCTCTGTGTGTGTCTCTCTCTCTCAGTGGCTCTCTCTCTGTCTCTCTGTCTCTCTCTGTCTCACTCTCTGTCTCTTGCTATCTCTCTGTCTCTCTCTGTGTCTCTCTGTGTCTCTCTCTGTCTCACTCTCTCTGTCTCTGTCTCTCTCTGTCTCCGTCTCTCTCTGTCTCTCTGTCTCTCTCTGTCTCTCTCTGTCTCTCTGTCTCCCTCTCTGTCTCTTGCTATCTCTCTCTGTGTCTCTGTGTCTCTCTATATCTCTCTGTATATCTCTATGTGTCTCTATCAGTGGCTATCTCTCTCTGTCTCTCTGTATTTCTCTGTCTCTCTCTGTCTCTCTGTGTCTCTCTGTGTCTCTCTGTCTCTGTGTCTCTGTGTCTCTCTGTCTCTCTCTGTGTCTCTGTCTCTCTGTGTCTCTCTGTGTCTCTCTCTGTGTCTCTGTCTCTCTGTGTCTCTGTCTCTCTGTGTCTCTGTGTCTCTCTCTGTGTCTCTCTGTCTGTGTCTCTGTCTCTGTCTGTGTCTCACCAGGAGAGTGAACAGGGTCTAGTCGTGCTCAAGTTGTCTCACCGTGACGTGTGTCTCTCTCTGTCTCTCTGTCTCTGTGTCTCTCTGTGTGTCTCTGTCTCTGTGTCTCTCTGTGTCTCTCTCTGTGTCTCTCTCTGTGTCTCTCTGTCTGTGTCTCTGTGTCTCTGTGTCTCTCTCTGTCTGTGTCTCTCTGTCTCTGTGTCTCTGTCTCTGTGTCTCTGTGTCTCACCAGGAGAGTGACCAGGGTCTAGTCGTGCTCAAGTTGTCTGACCGTGACTTGTCTCTCTCTTTGTCTCTCTGTCTCTGTGTCTCTGTCTGTGTCTCTGTGTGTCTGTGTCTCACCAGGAGAGTGACCAGGGTCTAGTCGTGCTCAAGTTGTCTGACCGTGACTTGTCTCTCTCTGTGTCTCTCTGTCTCTGTGTCTCTGTGTCTCACCAGGAGAGTGACCAGGGTCTAGTCGTGCTCAAGTTGTCTGACCGTGACTTGTCTCTCTCTGTGTCTCTCTGTCTCTGTCTGTGTCTCTGTGTCTCTGTGTCTCACCAGGAGAGTGAACAGGGTCTAGTCGTGCTCAAGTTGTCTCACCGTGACTTGTCTCTCTGTGTCTCTGTGTCTCTCTCTGTGTCTCTGTGTCTCTCTGTGTCTCTGTCTCTGTGTCTCTGTGTCTCACCAGGAGAGTGACCAGGGTCTAGTCGTGCTCAAGTTGTCTCACCGTGACTTGTGTCTCTCTGTGTCTCTGTGTCTCTCTCTGTCTCTGTGTCTCTCTCTGTCTCTGTCTGTGTCTCTGTGTCTCACCAGGAGAGTGACCAGGGTCTAGTCGTGCTCAAGTTGTCTGACCGTGACTTGTCTCTCTGTGTCTCTGTGTCTCTCTCTGTGTCTGTGTCTCTGTCTGTGTCTCTGTGTCTCTGTGTCTCACCAGGAGAGTGACCAGGGTCTAGTCGTGCTCAAGTTGTCTCACCGTGACTTGTCTCTCTGTGTCTCTGTGTCTCTCTCTGTGTCTCTGTGTCTCTCTGTGTCTCTGTCTCTGTGTCTCTGTGTCTCTGTGTCTCTGTGTCTCACCAGGAGAGTGACCAGGGTCTAGTCGTGCTCAAGTTGTCTGACCGTGACTTGTGTCTCTCTGTGTCTCTCTGTGTCTCTGTGTCTCTCTCTGTGTCTCTCTCTCTCTGTCTCTGTCTGTGTCTCTGTGTCTCTGTCTCTGTGTCTCACCAGGAGAGTGACCAGGGTCTAGTCGTGCTCAAGTTGTCTGACCGTGACTTGTGTCTCTCTCTGTGTCTCTCTGTCTCTGTCTCTCTGTCTCTGTGTCTCACCAGGAGAGTGACCAGGGTCTAGTCGTGCTCAAGTTGTCTTACCGTATCTCTGTGTCTCTCTCTGTGTCTCTGTGTCTCTGTCTCTGTGTCTCTGTCTCTGTGTCTCACCAGGAGAGTGACCAGGGTCTAGTCGTGCTCAAGTTGTCTGACCGTGACTTGTCTCTCTCTGTGTCTCTCTCTCTCTCTCTGTGTCTCTCTCTGTGTCTCTCTCTGTCTCTGTCTCTGTGTCTCTGTCTCTGTGTCTCTGTGTCTCACCAGGAGAGTGACCAGGGTCTAGTCGTGCTCAAGTTGTCTGACCGTGACTTGTCTCTCTCTTTGTCTCTCTGTCTCTGTGTCTCTGTCTGTGTCTCTGTGTCTCTGTGTCTCACCAGGAGAGTGACCAGGGTCTAGTCGTGCTCAAGTTGTCTGACCGTGTCTCTGTGTCTCTCTCTGTGTCTCTCTGTGTCTCTGTCTGTGTCTCTGTGTCTCTGTGTCTCACCAGGAGAGTGACCAGGGTCTAGTCGTGCTCAAGTTGTCTGACCGTGACTTGTCTCTCTCTGTGTCTCTCTCTCTCTCTCTGTGTCTCTCTCTGTGTCTCTCTCTGTCTCTGTCTCTGTGTCTGTGTCTCTGTGTCTCACCAGGAGAGTGACCAGGGTCTAGTCGTGCTCAAGTTGTCTGACCGTGACTTGTGTCTCTCTCTGTCACTCTGTCTCTCTCTGTGTCTCTCTGTCTCTGTGTCTCTGTCTGTGTCTCTGTGTCTCTGTCTCACCAGGAGAGTGACCAGGGTCTAGTTGTGCTCAAGTTGTCTGACCGTGACTTGTCTCTCTCTGTGTCTCTGTGTCTCTGTGTCTCTGTGTCTCACCAGGAGAGTGACCAGGGTCTCGTCGTGCTCAAGTTGTCTCACCGTGACTTGTGTCTCTCTGTCTCTCTGTGTCTCTCTCTGTGTCTCTGTCTGTGTCTCTGTCTCTGTGTCTCTGTGTCTCACCAGGAGAGTGACCAGGGTCTTGTCGTGCTCAAGTTGTCCGACCGTGACTTCCTACGCAGCGTTGAGACGGCGATTCGCTTTGGCAAACCCTGCCTGGTGGATCACGTGGGGGAACATCTCGATCCTGCCCTCGACCCCATCCTACTCAGACAGGTAACTAGCACTATCACTAACTATCACTATCACTAACTATCACTAACTATTACTAACTATCACTATCACTAACTATCACTAACTATTACTAACTATCACTAGCACTAACCATCACTAACTATCACTATCACTAACTATCACTAACTATTACTATCACTAACTTTTACTAACTATCACTATCACTAACTATCACTAACTATTACTAACCATCACTAACTCCCACTATCACTAACTATCACTATCACTCACATCACTAACTACCACTATCACTAACTATCACTATCACTAACTATTACTAACTATCACTATCACTAACTATCACCAACTATCACTATCACTAACTATCACTATCACTCACCATCACTAACTATCACTAGCACTAACTATCACTATCACTAACTATCACTAACTATCACTATCACTAACTATCACTAACTATCACTATCACTAACTAGCACTATCACTCACTATCACTAACTATCACTATCACTAACTATCACCGACTATCAATAGCTATCACTAACTATCACTAACCATCACTAACTATCACTAGCATTAACCCTCACCAATTATCACTAACTATCACTATCACTCGCCATCACTAACTATCACTAGCACTAACAATCACTATCACTAACTAGCACTAACTATCACTATCACTAACTACACTATCACTCACTATCACTAACTATCACTATCACTAACTATCACTAACTATCACTATCACCGACTATCAATAACTATCACTAACTATCACTATCACTAACCATCACTAACTATCACTAGCACTAACCATCACCAACTATCACTATCACTAACTATCACTATCACTCACCATCACTAACTATCACTAGCACTAACTATCACCATCACTAACTATCACTAACTATCACTATCACTAACTATCACTAACTATTACTAACCATCACTAACTCTCACTATCACTAACTATCACTAACTATCACTATCACTAACCATCACCAACTATCACTATCACTAACTATCACTATCACTAACTATCACTAACTATCACTATCGCTAACTATCACTAACCATCACCAACTATCACTATCACTAACCATCACCAACTATCACTAACTATCACTATCACTCACCATCACTAACTATCACTAGCACTAACTATCACTATCACTAACCATCACCAACTATCACTAACAATCACTATCACTCACCATCACTAACTATCACTAGCACTAACTATCACTAACTATCACTATCACTAACTATCACTATCACTAACTAGCACTATCACTCACTATCACTAACTATCACTATCACTAACTATCACTATCACTAACTAGCACTATCACTCACTATCACTAACTATCACTATCACTAACTATCACTATCCCTAACTATCACTATCAATAACTATCACTTGCTTATCACTAACTAGCACGATCACTAACTCGCACTCCGTGTCTCTGTGTCTCTATGTGTCTCTGCGCGTGTGTGTCTGTGTCTCCGTGTCTCTATGTATCCATGTCTCTGCGTGTCTCTGCGTGTCTCTGTGTGTGCTTGTTTCTGTATGCGTGTCTGTACATGTCTGTGCGTGTGTGTGTCTCTCTGTGTCCATGTCTCTGTGTCTTTGCGTGTCTCTGTCTGGGGTGATCCGTGTCTCTGCTTGTCTGTGTGTGTGTGTGTGTCCGTGTCTCTGTGTCCTTGTGCATCCGTATCTCTGCGTGTCTCTGTGTGTCTCTGTGTCTCTGCGTGTCTCTGTGTGTCTCTGCGTGTCTCTGTGTCTCTGCGTGTCTCTGTGTCTCTGCGTGTCTCTGCATGTCTCTGTGTCTCTGCGTGTCTCTGTGTGTATCCGTGTCTCTGTGTCTCTGTGTCTCTGCGTGTCTCTGCGTGTCTCTGTGTGTCTCTGCGTGTCTCTGCGTGTCCTTGTGTATCCGTGTCTCTGTGTCTCTGTGTGTCTCTTCGTGTCTCTGCGTGTCTCTGCGTGTGTCTCTGCGTGTCTCTGCGTGTCTCTGCGTATCTCTGCGTGTCTCTGCGTGTCCTTGTGTATCCGTGTCTCTGTGTCTCTGTGTGTCTCTGCGTGTCTCTGCGTGTCTCTGCGTGTCTCTGTGTCTCTGCGTGTCTCTGCGTGTGTCTCTCTGTCTCTGCGTGTCTCTGTGTGTCGTTGTGTATCCGTGTCTCTGTGTCTCTGCGTGTCTCTGTGTCGTTGTGTATCCGTGCCTCTGCGTGTCTCTGCATGTGTCTCTGCGTCTCTGTGTCTCTGCGTGTCTCTGTGTATGCGTGTCTCTGTGTATCCGTGTCTCTCCATGTGCGTGTCTCTATGTATCCGTGTCTCTGCGTGTCTCTGTGTGTCTCTGTGTCTCTGTGTCTCTGTGTCTCTCCGTGTCCCTGCGTGTCTCTGCCTGTCTCTGTCTCTGCGTGTCTCTGTGTGTCTCTGTGTCTCTGTGTCTCTGTGTCTCTCCGTGTCTCTGCGTGTCTCTCCGTGTCTCTGCACGTCTCTCCGTGTCTCTGCGTGTCCCTGCGCGTCTCTGCGCGTGCAGACGTTCTCGCTGCAGGCTGGTGGGGTGGTGATCCGCGTGGGTGACGCGCTGGTGCCCTACCACGACAACTTCAGACTCTTCCTGTGCACCGCCCTGCCCAACCCCCGCTACAGCGCCGAGGTCGCAGCAAAGGTCACGCTGCTGAACTTCACCCTCTCGCCAAGGTGACGCACAGACGTCACCACGACGCCTGTGCCAGGCTAGGTGCACCCCTGAGGCCACGCGGAGTGTCGAACGCCCGCGGGCAGGAGGTCACGGGGCAGACCCAGCAGGTGCCACGGGTCGACTGACTGAGATGACCGAGATGACTGGCTGGTGCACCACCTGTGCCCCCTACTGTGCCAGGCTAGGTGCACCAGGAGGTCACGTGGCAGACCCAGCAGGGTGCCACGGGTCGACTGACTGAGATGACCGAGATGACTGGCTGGTGCACCACCTGTGCCCCCTACTGTGCCAGGCTAGGTGCACCAGGAGGTCACGTGGCAGACCCAGCAGGTGCCACGGGTCGACTGACTGAGATGACTACTGGCTGATGCACCACCTGTGCCCCATACTGTGGCAACCCGCTGTGCTTTAGTCACCCGGCGCTCCGCTCGTTGTTGTGAGCGTCGCTCCTCCGCCCTCCGTTGTTGTTGGAGGGCGACTGCCTCCAACTGCCCAGTAGCGTCCTTCACGAGCCTCCTCCTCCACAGAGGCCGATCTTGACACCGCTGGTACCAGTTCATCGACAAGTCCACTCAGCTCCACGTCCTCATGAGATCTTTAATGATCAGCTGCAAGCAATGATGAAATTCTCGCTTGCAACGCTCATCAGCTAGCTGAGGCCAGGCCACTATGGGTTTGAAGGGGGTCCTGGGTGTACACCCACCACCGGAGTGGAAGAATCGCAGGTGCATCTCACAGATGACAAGTCGATGGTCAGTGAGCAGATCAGCTCCACGGTAGGTCCTGGTGTCAATGACATGAGCCCGCATCCGCTGTTCCATCGCTATGTAGTCCAGCAGATGTTCTTGCTTAGACCCGGCATGCATCCATGATGTTGTGTGGATGCGCCGATGCCGGAACAGCATGTTGGTAATTACAAACCCATGGGCTGCACAAAAATCTAACAGCCTCCTACCGTTGTTATTGAGCTGATCTGGCCCATGCCCTCCAATCACTCCAGACCAGGTGCCAGCATCATGACCAACTCGGGCATTGAAGTCACCCAACAAGATGACTCTATCCCGAGGGGCCACTTTAGCCAGCACCTGTGACAGGAGGTCATAGAAGGCATCTAACTCATCTGCTTTGCCTGTATCCCTCCACGGATGTTCGTCTTCAGTGGGGGGCATAAGTAACCACGACCACCGCTCCTCGCCTCCGGTTGACGGGAAGGCGAGCCCAAAGGTAGCCCGGGGCTTACCGCTTCCCACACCTCACCGCCACGCTCCCACGCCCTCTTCATTCTTTTGTTAAGAGGAAGACCCACACCCTGTTGTTTGGCAGTCTGCTTCCCCGAGTAGAGGACTGTCCACCCCTCACGGTGGCAGGAGACGGAGCCGGTCCGCCGGACCTCCTGAATGCCGCAGAGGTCCAGGCGGTACCGGTCCAGCTCCAGACAGAGCAGTGGCAGCCTCTCCTCCACACACTCATACTAGAACCAGTCCACCGGACCCCCAGAATGCCGCAGAGGTCCCGGCGGTACCGGTCCAGCTCCAGACAGAGCAGTGGCAGCCTCTCCTCCACACACTCATACTAGAACCAGTCCACCGGACCCCCTGAATGCCGCAGAGGTCCAGGCGGTAGCGGTCCAGCTCCAGACAGAGCAGTGGCAGCCTCTCCTCCACACACTCATACTAGAACCAGTCCACCGGACCCCCTGAATGCCGCAGAGGTCCAGGCGGTAGCGGTCCAGCTCCAGACAGAGCAGTGGCAGCCTCTCCTCCACACACTCATACTAGAACCAGTCCACCGGACCCCCTGAATGCCGCAGAGGTCCAGGCGGTAGCGGTCCAGCTCCAGACAGAGCAGTGGCAGCCTCTCCTCCACACACTCATACTAGAACCAGTCCACCGGACCTCCTGAATGCCGCAGAGGTCCAGGCGGTACCGGTCCAGCTCCAGACAGAGCAGTGGCAGCCTCTCCTCCACACACTCATACTAGAACCAGTCCACCGGACCTCCTGAATGCCGCAGAGGTCCAGGCGGTAGCGGTCCAGCTCCAGACAGAGCAGTGGCAGCCTCTCCTCCACACACTCATACTAGAACCAGTCCACCGGACCCCCTGAATGCCGCAGAGGTCCAGGCGGTAGCGGTCCAGCTCCAGACAGAGCAGTGGCAGCCTCTCCTCCACACACTCATACTAGAACCAGTCCACCGGACCCCCTGAATGCCGCAGAGGTCCAGGCGGTACCGGTCCAGCTCCAGACAGAGCAGTGGCAGCCTCTCCTCCACACACTCATACTAGAACCAGTCCACCGGACCTCCTGAATGCCGCAGAGGTCCAGGCGGTACCGGTCCAGCTCCAGACAGAGCAGTGGCAGCCTCTCCTCCACACACTCATACTAGAACCAGTCCACCGGACCTCCTGAATGCCGCAGAGGTCCAGGCGGTACCGGTCCAGCTCCAGACAGAGCAGTGGCAGCCTCTCCTCCACACACTCATACTAGAACCAGTCCACCGGACCCCCTGAATGCCGCAGAGGTCCAGGCGGTAGCGGTCCAGCTCCAGACAGAGCAGTGGCAGCCTCTCCTCCACACACTCATACTAGAACCAGTCCACCGGACCCCCTGAATGCCGCAGAGGTCCAGGCAGTACCGGTCCAGCTCCAGACAGAGCAGTGGCAGCCTCTCCTCCACACACTCATACTAGAACCAGTCCACCGGACCCCCTGAATGCCGCAGAGGTCCAGGCGGTACCGGTCCAGCTCCAGACAGAGCAGTGGCAGCCTCTCCTCCACACACTCATACTAGAACCAGTCCACCGGACCTCCTGAATGCCGCAGAGGTCCAGGCAGTACCGGTCCAGCTCCAGACAGAGCAGTGGCAGCCTCTCCTCCACACACTCATACTAGAACCAGTCCACCGGACCTCCTGAATGCCGCAGAGGTCCAGGCGGTAGCGGTCCAGCTCCCGACAGAGAAGCGGCAGCACCGAGGTTCAATCTTCCCGGCTCCGCCAAATTGTCGTTTAGTTTTCATCGACTGAAGGTGGGAGAGGTTGCCAGCCCGCCTTGGCGTCCGTCCAGTAGTGGGGGGGGGGCGGCCCCCCCCCCCTTTGTCCGCCATGGTGGCTGCAAACGCCGCGAGTGGAGTGGCCAATCACAGTTTGGCCGTCCCCTCCCACGGCACTGCTCACCGCTGAGTTGGGGGGTCGGTGTCCCGGACCGCCCGCCCGCCCGCCCGCCCGCCCGCTCTCTTCTCCACCCTCACCACCCCCTCCACGCTCACCCCCCCACCTCCCCCCCACCCACCAGCGGCCTAGAGGACCAGCTGCTGTGCCGCGTGGTGGCCGTGGAGCGGCCCGACCTGGAGGAGGCCCGTGCCCAGCTGATGGCCTCCAGCGCTGAGACGGTGCGGGAGCTTGGCGCCCTGGAGGAGGAGATCCTGCGGAGGCTGAGCGGCTCGCGGGGAAACCCCGTCGATGACGTGGAGCTCATCGCCGCCCTGCACGCCTCCAAGGGCAAGGCCGCCCAGATGCAGGTTCTGGTCGGGGGGCTATTTGCTGGCGCTCTGGCTCGTGGGCTCACTCGCAGGCTCCGTGGCTGGCTGGCTGGCTGGCTCACCAGTAGACTGGCTGGCTCAGCAGTAGACTGGCTGATTCAGCAGTAGACTGGCTGGCTCACCAGTAGACTGGCTGGTTCAGCAGTAGACTGGCTGATTCAGCAGTAGACTGGCTGGCTCACCAGTAGACTGGCTGGCTCACCAGTAGACTGGCTGGCTCAGCAGTAGACTCGCTGATTCAGCAGTAGACTGGCTGGCTCAGCAGTAGACTGGCTGATTCATCAGTAGACTGGCTGGCTCAGCAGTAGACTGGCTGATTCATCAGTAGACTGGCTGGCTCACCAGTTGACTGGCTGGCTCAGCAGTAGACTGGCTGGTTCACCAGTAGACTGGCTGGCTCAGCAGTAGACTGGCTGATTCATCAGTAGACTGGCTGGCTCAGCAGTAGACTGGCTGGTTCATCAGTAGACTGGCTGGCTCAGCAGTAGACTGGCTGATTCATCAGTAGACTGGCTGGCTCACCAGTTGACTGGCTGGCTGGCTGGCTGGTTCACCAGTAGACTGGCTGGTTCACCAGTAGACTGGCTGGCTGGTTCACCAGTAGACTGGCTGGCTGGCTGGCTCACCAGTAGACTGGCTAGCTCAGCAGTAGACTGGCTGGTTCATCAGTAGACTGGCTGGTTCATCAGTAGACTGGCTGGCTGGCTGATTCAGCAGTAGACTGGCTGGTTCACCAGTAGACTGGCTGATTCATCAGTAGACTGGCTGGCTCACCAGTTGACTGGCTGGCTGGCTGGCTGATTCAGCAGTAGACTGGCTGGTTCACCAATAGACTGGCTGGCTCACCAGTTGACTGGCTGGCTGGCTGATTCAGCAGTAGACTGGCTGGTTCACCAGTAGACTGGCTGATTCATCAGTAGACTGGCTGGCTCACCAGTTGACTGGCTGGATGGCTGGCTGATTCAGCAGTAGACTGGCTGGTTCACCAATAGACTGGCTGGCTCACCAGTTGACTGGCTGGCTGGCTGATTCAGCAGTAGACTGGCTGGCTGGCTGGCTTACCAGTAGACTGGCTAGCTCAGCAGTAGACTGGCTGGTTCATCAGTAGACTGGCTGGTTCATCAGTAGACTGGCTGGCTGGCTGATTCAGCAGTAGACTGGCTGGTTCACCAGTAGACTGGCTGGCTCACCAGTTGACTGGCTGGTTCACCAGTAGACTTGCTAGCTGGCTGGCTCACCAGTAGACTGGCTGGTTCACCAGTAGACTGGCTGGCTGGCTGGCTCACCAGTAGACTGGCTAGCTCAGCAGTAGACTGGCTGGTTCATCAGTAGACTGGCTGGCTGGCTGATTCAGCAGTAGACTGGCTGGTTCACCAGTAGACTGGCTGGCTCACCAGTAGACTGGCTGGCTCATCAGTAGACTGGCTGGCTCACCAGTAGACTGGCTGGCTCACCAGTAGACTGGCTGGCTCATCAGTAGACTGGCTGATTCATCAGTAGACTGGCTGGCTCACCAGTAGACTGGCTAGCTCAGCAGTAGACTGGCTGGTTCATCAGTAGACTGGCTGGCTGGCTGATTTAGCAGTAGACTGGCTGGTTCACCAGTAGACTGGCTGGCTCACCAGTAGACTGGCTGGCTCATCAGTAGACTGGCTGGCTCACCAGTAGACTGGCTGGCTCACCAGTAGACTGGCTGGCTCATCAGTAGACTGGCTGATTCATCAGTAGACTGGCTGGCTCACCAGTAAACTGGCTGGCTCATCAGTAGACTGGCTGGCTCATCAGTAGACTGGCTGGCTCATCAGTAGACTGGCTGGCTGATTCATCAGTAGACTGGCTGCCTCATCAGTAGACTGGCTGGCTCAGCAGTAGACTGGCTGATTCACCAGTAGACTGGCTGGCTCATCAGTAGACTGGCTGGCTCACCAGTAGACTGGCTGGCTCAGCAGTAGACTGGCTGGCTCACCAGTAGACTGGCTAGCTCAGCAGTAGACTGGCTGGTTCATCAGTAGACTGGCTGGCTGGCTGATTCAGCAGTAGACTGGCTGGCTCACCAGTAGACGGGCTGGTTCACCAGCAGACTGGCTGGTTCACCAGCAGACTGGCTAGCTCACCAGTAGACTGGCTGGCTCAGCAGTAGACTGGCTGGCTCAGCAGTAGACTGGCTGGTTCACCAGCAGACTGGCTAGCTCACCAGTAAACTGGCTGGCTCATCAGTAGACTGGCTGGTTCACCAGCAGACTGGCTGATTCAGCAGTAGACTGGCTGGCTCACCAGCAGACTGGCTGGTTCACCAGCAGACTGGCTGGTTCAGCAGTAGACTGGCTGGCTCAGCAGTAGACTGGCTGGCTCACCAGCAGACTGGCTGGTTCAGCAGTAGACTGGCTGGTTCATCAGTAGACTGGCTGGCTGGCTGATTCAGCAGTAGACTGGCTGGTTCACCAGTAGACTGGCTGGCTCACCAGTTGACTGGCTGGTTCACCAGTAGACTTGCTAGCTGGCTGGCTCACCAGTAGACTGGCTGGTTCACCAGTAGACTGGCTGGCTGGCTGGCTCACCAGTAGACTGGCTAGCTCAGCAGTAGACTGGCTGGTTCATCAGTAGACTGGCTGGCTGGCTGATTCAGCAGTAGACTGGCTGGTTCACCAGTAGACTGGCTGGCTCACCAGTAGACTGGCTGGCTCATCAGTAGACTGGCTGGCTCACCAGTAGACTGGCTGGCTCACCAGTAGACTGGCTGGCTCATCAGTAGACTGGCTGATTCATCAGTAGACTGGCTGGCTCACCAGTAGACTGGCTAGCTCAGCAGTAGACTGGCTGGTTCATCAGTAGACTGGCTGGCTGGCTGATTTAGCAGTAGACTGGCTGGTTCACCAGTAGACTGGCTGGCTCACCAGTAGACTGGCTGGCTCATCAGTAGACTGGCTGGCTCACCAGTAGACTGGCTGGCTCACCAGTAGACTGGCTGGCTCATCAGTAGACTGGCTGATTCATCAGTAGACTGGCTGGCTCACCAGTAAACTGGCTGGCTCATCAGTAGACTGGCTGGCTCATCAGTAGACTGGCTGGCTCATCAGTAGACTGGCTGGCTGATTCATCAGTAGACTGGCTGCCTCATCAGTAGACTGGCTGGCTCAGCAGTAGACTGGCTGATTCACCAGTAGACTGGCTGGCTCATCAGTAGACTGGCTGGCTCACCAGTAGACTGGCTGGCTCAGCAGTAGACTGGCTGGCTCACCAGTAGACTGGCTAGCTCAGCAGTAGACTGGCTGGTTCATCAGTAGACTGGCTGGCTGGCTGATTCAGCAGTAGACTGGCTGGCTCACCAGTAGACGGGCTGGTTCACCAGCAGACTGGCTGGTTCACCAGCAGACTGGCTAGCTCACCAGTAGACTGGCTGGCTCAGCAGTAGACTGGCTGGCTCAGCAGTAGACTGGCTGGTTCACCAGCAGACTGGCTAGCTCACCAGTAAACTGGCTGGCTCATCAGTAGACTGGCTGGTTCACCAGCAGACTGGCTGATTCAGCAGTAGACTGGCTGGCTCACCAGCAGACTGGCTGGTTCACCAGCAGACTGGCTGGTTCAGCAGTAGACTGGCTGGCTCAGCAGTAGACTGGCTGGCTCACCAGCAGACTGGCTGGTTCAGCAGTAGACTGGCTGGCTCACCAGTAGACTGGCTGATTCACCAGTAGACTGGCTGGCTCATCAGTAGACTGGCTGGCTCAGCAGTAGACTGGCTGATTCACCAGTAGACTGGCTGATTCATCAGTAGACTGGCTGGCTCAGCAGTAGACTGGCTGACTCATCAGTAGACGGGCTGGTTCACCAGTAGACTGGCTGGCTGATTCATCAGTAGACTGGCTGGCTCAGCAGTAGACTGGCTGATTCACCAGTAGACTGGCTGATTCATCAGTAGACTGGCTGGCTCAGCAGTAGACTGGCTGATTCACCAGTAGACTGGCTGGTTCACCAGTAGACTGGCTGGCTCATCAGTAGACTGGCTGATTCAGCAGTAGACTGGTTGGCTCACCAGTTGACTGGCTGGCTCATCAGTAGACTGGCTGGCTCACCAGCAGACTGGCTGGTTCACCAGCAGACTGGCTGGTTCAGCAGTAGACTGGCTGGCTCAGCAGTAGACTGGCTGGTTCACCAGCAGACTGGCTGGTTCAGCAGTAGACTGGCTGGTTCAGCAGTAGACTGGCTGGCTCACCAATTGACTGGCTGGTTCACCAGTAGACTGGCTGGTTCACCAGTAGACTGGCTGGTTCACCAGTTGACTGGCTGGTTTAGCAGTAGACTGGCTGGCTCAGCAGTAGACTGGTTGGCTGGCTGGCTCACCAGTAGACTGGCTAGCTCAGCAGTAGACTGGCTGGTTCACCAGTAGACTGGCTGGTTCATCAGTAGACTGGCTGGCTGGCTGGTTCACCAGTAGACTGGCTGGTTCATCAGTAGACTGGTTGGCTGGCTGGTTCACCAGTAGACTGGCTGGCTGGCTGGCTCACCAGCAGACTGGCTAGCTCAGCAGTAGACTGGCTGGTTCATCAGTAGACTGGCTGGTTCATCAGTAGACTGGCTGGCTGGCTGATTCAGCAGTAGACTGGCTGGTTCACCAGTAGACTGGCTGATTCATCAGTAGACTGGCTGGCTCACCAGTTGACTGGCTGATTCATCAGTAGACTGGCTGGCTCACCAGTTGACTGGCTGGCTGGCTGGCTGATTCAGCAGTAGACTGGCTGGTTCACCAGTAGACTGGCTGGTTCACCAGTAGACTGGCTGGCTCACCAGTTGACTGGCTGGCTGGCTGATTCAGCAGTAGACTGGCTGGTTCACCAGTAGACTGGCTGGCTCACCAGTTGACTGGCTGGCTGGCTGATTCAGCAGCAGACTGGCTGGCTGGCTGGCTCACCAGTAGACTGGCTAGCTCAGCAGTAGACTGGCTGGCTCAGCAGTAGACTGGCTGGCTGGCTGATTCAGCAGTAGACTGGCTGGTTCACCAGCAGACTGGCTGATTCACCAGTAGACTGGCTGGCTCATCAGTAGACTGGCTGGCTCATCAGTAGACTGGCTGATTCACCAGTAGACTGGCTGATTCATCAGTAGACTGGCTGATTCATCAGTAGACTGGCTGGCTCAGCAGTAGACTGGCTGGCTCAGCAGTAGACTGGCTGATTCACCAGTAGACTGGCTGATTCATCAGTAGACTGGCTGGCTCAGCAGTAGACTGGCTGGCTCATCAGTAGACTGGCTGGCTCATCAGTAGACTGGCTGGCTCAGCAGTAGACTGGCTGATTCATCAGTAGACTGGCTGGCTCACCAATTGACTGGCTGGTTCACCAGTAGACTGGCTGGTTCACCAGTAGACTGGCTGGTTCACCAGTTGACTGGCTGGTTTAGCAGTAGACTGGCTGGCTCAGCAGTAGACTGGTTGGCTGGCTGGCTCACCAGTAGACTGGCTAGCTCAGCAGTAGACTGGCTGGTTCACCAGTAGACTGGCTGGTTCATCAGTAGACTGGCTGGCTGGCTGGTTCACCAGTAGACTGGCTGGTTCATCAGTAGACTGGTTGGCTGGCTGGTTCACCAGTAGACTGGCTGGCTGGCTGGCTCACCAGCAGACTGGCTAGCTCAGCAGTAGACTGGCTGGTTCATCAGTAGACTGGCTGGTTCATCAGTAGACTGGCTGGCTGGCTGATTCAGCAGTAGACTGGCTGGTTCACCAGTAGACTGGCTGATTCATCAGTAGACTGGCTGGCTCACCAGTTGACTGGCTGATTCATCAGTAGACTGGCTGGCTCACCAGTTGACTGGCTGGCTGGCTGGCTGATTCAGCAGTAGACTGGCTGGTTCACCAGTAGACTGGCTGGTTCACCAGTAGACTGGCTGGCTCACCAGTTGACTGGCTGGCTGGCTGATTCAGCAGTAGACTGGCTGGTTCACCAGTAGACTGGCTGGCTCACCAGTTGACTGGCTGGCTGGCTGATTCAGCAGCAGACTGGCTGGCTGGCTGGCTCACCAGTAGACTGGCTAGCTCAGCAGTAGACTGGCTGGCTCAGCAGTAGACTGGCTGGCTGGCTGATTCAGCAGTAGACTGGCTGGTTCACCAGCAGACTGGCTGATTCACCAGTAGACTGGCTGGCTCATCAGTAGACTGGCTGGCTCATCAGTAGACTGGCTGATTCACCAGTAGACTGGCTGATTCATCAGTAGACTGGCTGATTCATCAGTAGACTGGCTGGCTCAGCAGTAGACTGGCTGGCTCAGCAGTAGACTGGCTGATTCACCAGTAGACTGGCTGATTCATCAGTAGACTGGCTGGCTCAGCAGTAGACTGGCTGGCTCATCAGTAGACTGGCTGGCTCATCAGTAGACTGGCTGGCTCAGCAGTAGACTGGCTGATTCATCAGTAGACTGGCTGATTCATCAGTAGACTGGCTGGCTCAGCAGTAGACTGGCTGGCTCAGCAGTAGACTGGCTGATTCACCAGTAGACTGGCTGATTCATCAGTAGACTGGCTGGCTGGCTGATTCAGCAGTAGACTGGCTGGTTCACCAGCAGACTGGCTGATTCACCAGTAGACTGGCTGGCTCATCAGTAGACTGGCTGGCTCATCAGTAGACTGGCTGATTCACCAGTAGACTGGCTGATTCATCAGTAGACTGGCTGATTCATCAGTAGACTGGCTGGCTCAGCAGTAGACTGGCTGGCTCAGCAGTAGACTGGCTGATTCACCAGTAGACTGGCTGATTCATCAGTAGACTGGCTGGCTCAGCAGTAGACTGGCTGGCTCATCAGTAGACTGGCTGGCTCATCAGTAGACTGGCTGGCTCAGCAGTAGACTGGCTGGTTCACCAGTAGACTGGCTGGCTGATTCATCAGTAGACTGGCTGGCTCATCAGTAGACTGGCTGGCTCACCAGTAGACTGGCTGGCTCACCAGTAGACTGGCTGGCTCAGCAGTAGACTGGCTGGCTCACCAGTAGACTGGCTGGCTCAGCAGTAGACTGGCTGGCTCAGCAGTAGACTGGCTGGCTCACCAGTAGACTGGCTGGCTCAGCAGTAGACTGGCTGGCTCACCAGTAGACGGGCTGGCTCATCAGTAAACTGGTTGGCTCATCAGTAGACTGGCTGGCTGGCTGATTCAGCAGTAGACTGGCTGGTTCAGCAGTAGACTGGCTGGCTCATCAGTAGACTGGCTGGCTCACCAGTTGACTGGCTGGCTCAGCAGTAGACTGGCTGATTCACCAGTAGACTGGCTGGCTCATCAGTAGACTGGCTGGCTCAGCAGTAGACTGGCTGATTCAGCAGTAGACTGGCTGGCTCACCAGCAGACTGGCTGATTCATCAGTAGACTGGCTGGCTCAGCAGTAGACTGGCTGGCTCATCAGTAGACGGGCTGGTTCACCAGTAGACTGGCTGGCTGATTCATCAGTAGACTGGCTGGCTCATCAGTAGACTGGCTGGCTCACCAGTAGACTGGCTGACTCAGCAGTAGACTGGCTGGCTCAGCAGTAGACTGGCTGGCTCACCAGTAGACTGGCTGGCTCAGCAGTAGACTGGCTGGCTCACCAGCAGACTGGCTGGTTCAGCAGTAGACTGGCTGGCTCATCAGCAGACTGGCTGGTTCAGCAGTAGACTGGCTGGTTCACCAGCAGACTGGCTGGTTCAGCAGTAGACTGGCTGGCTCACCAGTAGACTGGCTGGCTCATCAGTAGACTGGCTGATTCAGCAGTAGGCTGGCTGGTTCACCAGTTGAATGGCTGGCTCACCAGTTGACTGGCTGGCTCATCAGTAGACGGGCTGGTTCACCAGTAGACTGGCTGGCTCATCAGTAGACTGGCTGGCTGATTCATCAGTAGACTGGCTGGCTCACCAGTAGACTGGCTGGCTCACCAGTAGACTGGCTGGCTCACCAGTTGACTGGCTGGCTCATCAGTAGACTGGCTGATTCAGCAGTAGGCTGGCTGGTTCACCAGCAGACTGGCTGGTTCAGCAGTAGACTGGCTGGCTCACCAGTAGACTGGCTGGCTCAGCAGTAGACTGGCTGACTCACCAGTAGACTGGCTGGCTCAGCAGTAGACTGGCTGATTCAGCAGTAGGCTGGCTGGTTCATCAGTAGACTGGCTGGTTCACCACTAACCGCGCCACTACTACGACTAGCTCTACCACTACCACTACTATGGCTAACCCTACCTCTACCACTACCACTACTATGGCTACCCCTACCACTGCCCCTACCACTTCCCCTGCCACTACCCCTAATACTACTATGACTACCCCTACCTCTACCACTACCATTACTATGGCTAACCCTACCTCTACCACTACCCCTACCACTACTACGACTACCCCTACCACTACCCCTACCACTACCCCTACCACTACCCCTGCCACTACTACACCTACCACTACCCCTACCACTACCCCTACCACTACTACCACTACCCCTGCCACTACTACACCTACCACTACCCCTACCACTACCCCTGCCACTACTACCTCTACCACTACCCCTACCACTACTACGACTACCTCTACCACTACCCCTGCCACTACCACTACCCCTACCACTACTACGACTACCCCTATCTCTACCACTACCCCTGCCACTACCACTACTACCACCACCACTACCCCTACCACTACCACTACCCCTGCCACTACTACTACTACCCCTACCTCTACCACTACTACCACTACCCCTGCCACTACCACTACCCCTGCCACTACTACGACTACCCCTATCTCTACCACTACACCTGCCACTACCTCTACCCCTACCACTACCACTACCCCTACCACTACCACTACCCCTACCACTACTACGACTACCTCTACCACTACCCCTACCACTACCCCTACCACTACCCGTACATCCACTACCCCTGCCACTACTACCCCTACCACTACCCCTACCTCTACCCCTACCACTACCACTACTACCACCACCACTACTACCCCTACCACTACCCCTGCCACTACCACTACTACCACCACTACCACTACTACCACCACTACCACTACTACCACCACTACCACCACCCCTACCACTACCCCTGCCACTACCACCCCTACCACTACCCCTACCCCTACCACTACCCCTACCACTACTACTACCACCACTACCCCTACCACTACCACCACCCCTACCACTACCCCTACCACTACTACTACCACCACTACCCCTACCACTACCCCTACCACTACCACCACCCCTACCACTACCACTACCCCTGCCACTACTACGACTACCCCTACCACTACCTCTACCCCTACCCCTACCACCACCACTACCACCACCCCTACCACTACCACCACCCCTACCACCACTACCCCTACCCCTACCTCTACCCCTACGACTACCCCTACCACCACCACTACTACCGCTACTCCTCCCCGCTGCGCGTAGGCTAAGGTGGTGCGTGCGGCGGCCACGGAGCTGGAGCTGGACCGCGCCCGTGCCCGCTACCTGGCCGTGGCACAGCGGGGCCAGCTGCTGTTCTTCTGCACGACGGCACTCGCCACGGTCGAGTCGATGTACCAATACTCGCTAGCGTGGTACCTGGGCATCTTCACCAGCGCCATCACCTCCGCTCCACAGGCTGGTAAGTAGTCTGGTAGAGTGGTAGAGTGGTAGTCTGGTAGAGTGGTAGAGTGGTAGTCTGGTAGAGTGGTAGAGTGGTAGACTGGTAGAGTGGTAGAGTGGTAGAGTGGTAGTCTGGTAGAGTGGTAGAGTGGTAGACTGGTAGAGTGGTAGAGTGGTAGACTGGTAGAGTGGTAGAGTGGTAGACTGGTAGACTGGTAGAGTGGTAGAGTGGTAGACTGGTAGAGTGGTAGAGTGGTAGACTGGTAGACTGGTAGAGTGGTAGAGTGGTAGTCTGGTAGTCTGGTAGAGTGGTAGAGTGGTAGACTGGTAGAGTGATAGAGTGGTAGACTGGTAGTGTGGTAGAGTGGTAGAGTGTTAGACTGGTAGAGTGGTAGAGTGGTAGACTGGTAGAGTGGTAGACTGGTAGACTGGTAGTCTGGTAGAGTGGTAGTCTGGTAGAGTGGTAGAGTGGTAGAGTGGTAGTCTGGTAGTCTGGTAGACTGGTAGAGTGGTAGAGTGGTAGACTGGTAGTCTGGTAGAGTGGTAGTCTGGTAGAGTGGTAGAGTGGTAGTCTGGTAGACTGGTAGTCTGGTAGAGTGGTAGAGTGGTAGAGTGGTAGTCTGGTAGAGTGGTAGACTGGTAGAGTGGTAGTCTGGTAGACTGGTAGAGTGGTAGAGTGGTAGACTGGTAGAGTGGTAGACTGGTAGACTGGTAGAGTGGTAGAGTGGTAGACTGGTAGAGTGGTAGACTGGTAGACTGGTAGTCTGGTAGTCTGGTAGAGTGGTAGAGTGCTAGAGTGGTAGAGTGGTAGTCTGGTAGAGTGGTAGACTGGTAGACTAGTAGACTGGTAGTCTGGTAGAGTGGTAGACTGGTAGAGTGGTAGAGTGGTAGTCTGGTAGAGTGGTAGAGTGGTAGTCTGGTAGACTGGTAGAGTGGTAGACTGGTAGAGTGTTAGACTGGTAGAGTGGTATACTGGTAGACTGGTAGAGTGGTAGAGTGGTAGACTGGTAGACTGGTATAGTGGTAGTCTGGTAGAGTGGTTGACTGGTAGAGTGGTAGAGTGGTAGACTGGTAGACTGGTAGAGTGGTAGACTGGTAGAGTGGTAGACTGGTAGACTGGTAGAGTGGTAGACTGGTAGACTGGTAGAGTGGTAGACTGGTAGAGTGGTAGACTGGTATAGTGGTAGTCTGGTAGAGTGGTTGACTGGTAGAGTGGTAGAGTGGTAGACTGGTAGACTGGTAGAGTGGTAGACTGGTAGAGTGGTAGAGTGGTAGACTGGTAGAGTGGTAGAGTGGTAGAGTGGTGGAGTGGTAGACTGGTAGACTGGTAGAGTTGTAGAGTGGTAGACTGGTAGAGTGGTAGAGTGGTAGAGTGGTGGAGTGGTAGACTGGTAGACTGGTAGAGTTGTAGAGTGGTAGTCTGGTAGACTGGTAGAGTGGTAGTCTGGTAGAGTGGTTGACTGGTAGAGTGGTAGAGTGGTAGACTGGTAGACTGGTAGAGTGGTAGAGTGGTAGACTGGTAGAGTGGTAGACTGGTAGACTGGTAGAGTGGTAGAGTGGTAGACTGGTAGAGTGGTAGACTGGTAGACTGGTAGAGTGGTAGACTGGTAGACTGGTAGAGTGGTAGTCTGGTAGAGTGGTAGACTGGTAGAGTGGTAATCTGGTAGACTGGTAGAGTGGTAGAGTGGTAAACTGGTAGACTGGTAGAGTGGTAGAGTGGTAGTCTGGTAGACTGGTAGAGTGGTAGAGTGGTAGTCTGGTAGACTGGTAGAGTGGTAGAGTGGTAGTCTGGTAGACTGGTAGAGTGGTAGAGTGGTAGTCTGGTAGACTGGTAGAGTGGTAGACTGTTAGACTGGTAGAGTGGTAGACTGGTAGAGTGGTAGTCTGGTAGACTGGTAGAGTGGTAGAGTGGTAGACTGGTAGACTGGTAGTCTGGTAGAGTGGTAGTCTGGTAAAGTGGTAGTCTGGTAGAGTGGTAGTCTGGTAGAGTGGTAGTCTGGTAGTCTGGTAGAGTGGTAGAGTGGTAGACTGGTAGTCTGGTAGAGTGGTAGACTGGTAGAGTGGTAGAGTGGTAGACTGGTAGACTGGTAGAGTGGTAGAGTGGTAGACTGGTAGACTGGTAGAGTGGTAGAGTGGTAGACTGCTAGAGTGGTAGTCTGGTAGAGTGGTAGAGTGGTAGACTGGTAGAGTGGTAGAGTGGTAGTCTGGTAGAGTGGTAGACTGGTAGAGTGGTAGAGTGGTAGAGTGGTAGTCTGGTAGAGTGGTAGTCTGGTAGGCTGGTAGTCTGGTAGTCTGGTAGACTGGTAGACTGGTAGAGTGGTAGAGTGGTAGACTGGTAGAGTGGTAGACTGGTAGAGTGGTAGACTGGTAGACTAGTAGACTGGTAGTCTGGTAGAGTGGTAGACTGGTAGACTGGTAGAGTGGTAGACTGGTAGACTGGTAGAGTGGTAGAGTGGTAGAGTGGTAGACTGGTAGAGTGGTAGTCTGGTAGAGTGGTAGAGTGGTAGAGTGGTAGTCTGGTAGAGTGGTAGACTGGTAGAGTGGTAGACTGGTAGACTGGTAGTCTGGTAGGCTGGTAGTCTGGTAGTCTGGTAGACTGGTAGACTGTAGAGTGGTAGAGTGGTAGACTGGTAGACTGGTAGAGTGGTAGACTGGTAGACTGGTAGAGTGGTAGTCTGGTAGACTGGTAGAGTGGTAGACTGGTAGACTAGTAGACTCGTAGTCTGGTAGAGTGGTAGACTGGTAGAGTGGTAGACTGGTAGAGTGGTAGAGTGGTAGCCTGGTAGACTGGTAGAGTGGTAGACTGGTAGACTGGTAGAGTGGTAGACTGGTAGACTGGTATAGTGGTAGTCTGGTAGAGTGGTTGACTGGTAGAGTGGTAGAGTGGTAGACTGGTAGACTGGTAGAGTGGTAGACTGGTAGAGTGGTAGACTGGTAGACTGGTAGAGTGGTAGACTGGTAGACTGGTAGAGTGGTAGACTGGTAGAGTGGTAGACTGGTAGAGTGGTAGAGTGGTAGACTGGTAGAGTGGTAGAGTGGTAGACTGGTAGAGTGGTAGACTGGTAGAGTGGTAGAGTGGTAGACTGGTAGAGTGGTAGACTGGTAGAGTGGTAGTCTGGTAGAGTGGTAGACTGGTAGAGTGGTAGACTGGTAGAGTGGTAGAGTGGTAGACTGGTAGAGTGGTAGACTGGTAGAGTGGTAGACTGGTAGAGTGGTAGACTGGTAGAGTGGTAGACTGGTAGAGTGGTAGAGTGGTAGTCTGGTAGAGTGGTAGTCTGGTAGAGTGGTAGACTGGTAGTCTGGTAGAGTGGTAGAGTGGTAGAGTGGTAGACTGGTAGACTGGTAGAGTGGTAGAGTGGTAGTCTGGTAGGCTGGTAGTCTGGTAGTCTGGTAGACTGGTAGACTGGTAGAGTGGTAGAGTGGTAGACTGGTAGAGTGGTAGACTGGTAGAGTGGTAGACTGGTAGACTAGTAGACTGGTAGTCTGGTAGAGTGGTAGACTGGTAGACTGGTAGAGTGGTAGAGTGGTAGACTGGTAGAGTGGTAGACTGGTAGAGTGGTAGAGTGGTAGACTGGTAGAGTGGTAGTCTGGTAGAGTGGTAGTCTGGTAGAGTGGTAGACTGGTAGTCTGGTAGAGTGGTAGAGTGGTAGAGTGGTAGACTGGTAGACTGGTAGAGTGGTAGAGTGGTAGTCTGGTAGGCTGGTAGTCTGGTAGTCTGGTAGACTGGTAGACTGGTAGAGTGGGTAGAGTGGTAGACTGGTAGAGTGGTAGACTGGTAGAGTGGTAGACTGTAGACTAGTAGACTGGTAGTCTGGTAGAGTGGTAGACTGGTAGACTGGTAGAGTGGTAGACTGGTAGACTGGTAGAGTGGTAGAGTGGTAGACTGGTAGAGTGGTAGTCTGGTAGAGTGGTAGAGTGGTAGAGTGGTAGTCTGGTAGAGTGGTAGAGTGGTAGTCTGGTAGACTGGTAGAGTGGTAGAGTGGTAGTCTGGTAGACTGGTAGAGTGGTAGAGTGGTAGTCTGGTAGACTGGTAGAGTGGTAGACTGTTAGACTGGTAGAGTGGTAGACTGGTAGAGTGGTAGTCTGGTAGACTGGTAGAGTGGTAGAGTGGTAGAGTGGTAGACTGGTAGACTGGTAGTCTGGTAGAGTGGTAGTCTGGTAAAGTGGTAGTCTGGTAGAGTGGTAGTCTGGTAGAGTGGTAGTCTGGTAGTCTGGTAGAGTGGTAGAGTGGTAGACTGGTAGTCTGGTAGAGTGGTAGACTGGTAGAGTGGTAGAGTGGTAGACTGGTAGACTGGTAGAGTGGTAGAGTGGTAGACTGGTAGACTGGTAGAGTGGTAGAGTGGTAGACTGGTAGAGTGGTAGTCTGGTAGAGTGGTAGAGTGGTAGACTGGTAGAGTGGTAGAGTGGTAGTCTGGTAGAGTGGTAGACTGGTAGAGTGGTAGACTGGTAGACTGGTAGAGTGGTAGAGTGGTAGTCTGGTAGGCTGGTAGTCTGGTAGTCTGGTAGACTGGTAGACTGGTAGAGTGGTAGAGTGGTAGACTGGTAGAGTGGTAGACTGGTAGAGTGGTAGACTGGTAGACTAGTAGACTGGTAGTCTGGTAGAGTGGTAGACTGGTAGACTGGTAGAGTGGTAGACTGGTAGACTGGTAGAGTGGTAGACTGGTAGAGTGGTAGTCTGGTAGAGTGGTAGAGTGGTAGAGTGGTAGTCTGGTAGAGTGGTAGACTGGTAGAGTGGTAGACTGGTAGACTGGTAGTCTGGTAGGCTGGTAGTCTGGTAGTCTGGTAGACTGGTAGACTGGTAGAGTGGTAGAGTGGTAGACTGGTAGACTGGAAGAGTGGTAGACTGGTAGACTGGTAGAGTGGTAGTCTGGTAGACTGGTAGAGTGGTAGACTGGTAGACTAGTAGACTCGTAGTCTGGTAGAGTGGTAGACTGGTAGAGTGGTAGACTGTTGACATGGTAGAGTGGTAGAGTGGTAGACTGGTAGACTGGTAGAGTGGTAGACTGGTAGAGGTGGTAG